TTCTCTAACTTCTATAAAAAAAAAATTAAAAATAGAAAGTTTCTGTTGGGCCCGTTTAGGCCCACTTAGGCTCGGGACCTGCCCACTTAACCCGGGACCATTAGTTCGTGGTCCCGGTCCCGAGCCGGTTCCAGCAATAAGCCTGCGAAGCCCGGGACCGTTTAGGACCGGACCGCATAGGACCGGCCCACTTAGGACCGGACCCGCGAAGCTCACTTAGGACCGGGCCCGTTCCACTTGCCACCCTTACGGGAGCCCCACTTCCCAACCCTGACCCAAATTTAGTTATGTCTAACTTTGTTTCCAATTATTTATTGTTTCTGATCAAATTTACAATGAACAATGGTATAAATTCAAATTAATTTATGATTTTTTCCGCAATTTTAACATTCTCCTCGAAATTTTATGTTGTTCCCTAAATTACAGGAGTTAAAGTAGTGCTCTATTATGTATCAAAAAAATTTATTTGTCATTTGAAAAAACAGAAGAAGGAAGATATGCTGAAACCTATAAATTAAAGCAGCATTTATACAAAGAGCGGCTAAAAGTAGCTTTCCTTCAGAAAAATTTGTTTTTAATTTTTCGTTTTCTCATCCTATTTCCTTCTAATCTTTTCTTCATACTCTCACAAATTGTAAGGTATAAATAAGTGATTTTGAAGAGAAAAAGGAAAACAAATATATTGCCGACATTTGGTAAGGTCAAAGATTTTGGCATATGAGCCGATGTGATTTCAGTGCAACTATGGTTTTTGAAAGTATAACAACAACAACTACGACAACCAAGTAAAAGATGGGAAAAAATAGGTTTTACTCATCAAGATGTCCTTATAGTATTCACTTTATCACAATATAAAGAGAATTAAGAACCTATCTAACATTACTAACAAACTAAGGGATCCTAATAAAAATAAATTAAAAATTTGTGGGGTTAAACTGCAATATAAACTTTATCACAATATAAAGAGAATTAAGAACCTATCTAACATTACTAACAAACTAAGGGATCCTAATAGAATAAAATAAAAAATTGTATGTGTGTGTGGGGGGGGGGGGGGGGAAGAGGTCGAGGCCCCATATATCTGTGTCCAAGTTTTCATTGTTGATTTACAGAGCCACATGCATGCAACTCAAGAAGAGTACATATAAATTAAACAAGATTAATGTGAGAGCTAAAATTAGGAATAACTGTATATACAAACTGCAAAGAACGTCCAAAATCCTTGAATTAAACTATTTGAGTACATTGAAAGAATTCTACAACATGAAAGAATATCACCATTTATATATGAACTTGCTAATTAAGGTTAACTATAAGCTAACTAAACTAGTCGTTGTACGATATCCGAAAAAGTTTCTAATTAATTAACCGCGCAAGAAATAAGATACGAATTATAAAAAGAAATTAAGCCTCTCTTTTCCTACTCTTCTTTAGTATCTCTTCTTATCTGTGATGACACCATATCATGAAGAAGCCCATCGTCTCCGGTCAAAGAGGAAGAATAAGGGGAGGGCGAGAACCTTCTTTCTTCGAGTGAATTAGTCGAAAATAAAGAAGTATAACCAACGGTAAAGTTATTTAAATGTGAAGTTGTAGTAGGGAAATGGAGTACTGTTTGCTGCTCCTGTTCTTGATAATATTGAAGTTGTGGGATAGACAAAGAGGAATTACTACAAGTTCCTCCTCCACCATTACCACCACCAATGGCGCCACCGTAGTAGGCGGTGGTTCGCGGCAGAACGCCGGTGCTACCGCGCAGCGTCATGGGACATGGATGTGTGTGAGTACCTTCATAAGTTGTAACAACTATTGAAGTATCTTTGATTGATCTTTCCACTCTCTTTTTTACACCACATGATGCAGTTGTACAACGATAATAGCTCCTGCATAAGTAATTTATGCATCCCACATTTAAATTTTAACAAAGAATGGACTACTTGAAGAAAGGAAAAAGGAAGAGTTTCAAAATCGAGAAAGAAAAATTTCCCATTAAGATAAGTTATAGTGATCTTTACACAAGTAGCCGGCTGGGTTCGCAGTTTATTTTTTCTAATCGGTATATATATACTGATATGCACATATTATACATGAAATATGCATCTGCCAGTCTGTTTTAGTTTAAACGGTTGGATGGACGGTAGAAGAATTAACCTAGCTACATTTTAATTATACTCCCTCCATGTCATATAGTTAACGAAATTCCAAATATAAAAATGTATCACTTTTTAAAACATATATACCTTGGGAAGGGGTTGTTTTTCACTGCTTTTTGGCCGTATTTCCTCCATCTGTAACCATCATCCAAATGATCAATTTCACTCTTGGTCATGAATGCAAATCTTGGCTCTCTTTGCCTCTTTTGGACATTCTTCTTTTTAGGTTTTAACCTAAGCCAACAAAGAAAAAACATCACACTTTGCACAAATTAGGGAAAAACTTCAAAATAAACAAGAAATTGTTAAAACTGAAAAACTCAAAAAGCAATTTACATTATCAGATGATGCATATACTTATTTATCTATTTAGTTTTCTAAGTAGTGACTCTGCTAATTTCATGCAATCGTATTTGACTCGATATGGAGTTTAAAAACAAAGAAAGACTTTAAAATTCCACATATAAAACATGTCATAAACATATCTAGTAGCTATAGATTATCTCATAAAGGGTACAATGAGAAACTTAAAATTACATTTTCTTTAAGGGTGTGCTTGGTGTGGAGCGAAAGCACAGTTTTCAATTTTATTTTTGGACATAAGAATTGTAAAATTTCGTAAAAAAGTTTTAAAAAAAAAATCAACCGAAAATGGTATTTGAAAATTAGAGTTGTGTTTGGAAAAAAAATACAATTTGGAGCTGTTTTTGAATTTTTGTGAGTGATTTGAAGTGAAAATTTTGAAAAATAAATTTTTGAAGTTTTTTAAACTTTTAAAAAATTCCAAAATGCAACTTAAGTGAAATTTGAAATTTTCATGGTCAAGCATTGATTCTTTAAAAAAAGTGAAATTCTTTTTATGGCCAAACAGGTTAAATATTTTGAAAATATTTTCCTTTTGAACACATTTTCTTTTAATTTCAGGAAATGACTTTTCAAATAAGACAAGAAATTAAAACATTACTCTCTAATTAATGGTCTCAACCCTCCTACCCGCAATAGAAAAGTGTAACTCTTTTTTAGAACAGATTAAAAAGAAAAGTTTCACATAAAATATTTAAGGGACATAGAAGTATATACAGTCAAACCTCTTTATAACACCATCTTTGTATATATAACAATCATTCACTATAAAAGTCAAGTTTTTTTGGAACTGATTTTTATATTATGTTATAATATATGTTTTCTTATAACAGCAACTCACTTTAGCAGCCAAAAAATATCGGAGCAAACGAGGCTGTTACGGAGAGTTTAGACTTAATTATTAAACTTACTGTTTCTTATACTTGTCTTGATCTTGCTCTTCATTTTTTTGCTTTACTGTGTTGCTCTGCTGATCATCATCGGCAGCTTCAAGTGATGATGAAGAGATCGACAGCGAATTGGGCGTCACCGGAGATGATTCTTGAAATGTTGAAGTGGTAGATATTGAAGTAAACAACGATTGAGGTGGTATTAATAAGGGTGTTTGCAATGGAGTTTGGAGCAAATCAAAAATGGAAGGAGTAGTAGTTGTATTATAGTAATCAAGAAGATGAGCACCAAATATTGTATCTAAAGAATCCTTTTCAGTTTCATACAACATATCAAAGATGTTTGGTAAAGAAAAGCTAGTTGGAATTTGATTTGAAAACGTCTGATTTTCCAATGAAGTCTCTGCTTTTAGCTTGTTTTCCTTCTCCATAATATTGGACTACAATCTTGTTCAAATGTTGGTCTTTGGTTCTCAGCTGTGTGGTCTTATTTTTCAAGTGTGAAGAGAACTTTTATGTTTCCTTTGGTTACACTTTTTAAAGGAGTTGTGTGTGGGAAAACAGGTTGGTCCAAGATAGCCAAGGGAAAGTAATTTTTTACACTTGACCGGAAAATGCCGGTGCTCCAAACTAAATTAAATGTAAATCTTGGCGTATGAAGTTTAGTAAATTATGAAAATGCATTAGTAGAGAGCAAAAACAGATAGTACTATTTTTACCATCGAACTGTGAAATGTTACTTAACAAATAATTTTGCTCGTAACGAAGACTGCAACGAATGAGTGAAAGTATACGACCTACTTTAAATTTCGTGATACCTATATTGAAATCCGACTAAATTTAATTTCACATCGAAAAATTCTATATTAAGAAATAAAGTACTTTCACACGACTCCTTATTCCGGACATAAAAACACAAATTTACTCTATAAATTAGAATATATATATATATA